TAATAATAAATATTACTACATGTATAATTTTATCATTATAATAATTATGATAATCTTAGAAATAATAATAAGACGTAGCAGTAGGGGCCTATATGCCCCTGTAATGATTGTTGTAAGACATATTCTTGTATGACTTCTGCTAGTTACTCATGATTCATTTAGTACTGCATTGTGCACAAGTAGGTCAAGATACCTAATTAATAAAACCTAATCATGAATAGTGGTTTACTGTGGGTTATTACTTTCTTATTATTTCAGTCAACGACAAAATCGCGAGACAGAGCAGCGAAAGACAAAGCAGTAAGTCCACTCTTTAGTACTGGGGGTGCCGTTGGTCGATTCGCTGCCGTAGCAACATTGTGTGTTCAAAATGGCGAAGAATAAAGGAAAGCTCGACGGGGTTAGCTCCTCGTCAAAAGAGAATCTAACTGCTTCTAAAAAAGACAAGAAGTCAAAAGGAACTAAAGCCACTGTCTCTGTGTCTCTTTCAGACCATCAAACTGTGGAAATAGTAAGATGTACCAGATTATTCATGGGTATTTTCTTTAGTAGAAAATCTCGATCGATATTAGATCTAGAAATCTATAATTTGAAATTACTTTCGCTTTCGTTCATCTCCTCGCTTTGATTTCTGATCTCAACCTGTGAGTTTCCCTAATATATTTTCACACTGTCTTATTTTAGATATCTAATCCTTTAGTGCAACATTCTGTCTAGATCTAGATAATCTTGTGAGCAACCTGACTTGAAAGAGAGAAGAGGTAAGCCTGCCTGATGATAATGTGTATGTAAAGCAATCACACGGGTCTAAGTCTAAGCCTAAACCAAAATGTTTGGGTCTTTTTTAGACTAAGTTATTCTGTGTTTTGTCGAAGATACCACACGCATTGTCAGAATATTATTTGAATTCTTGGACTGAGTGTTCTTTAATAAATTAATGGCTATTGGAATTGTGTCTCCCAAATCCGATCAACGTTTTTCATACTGCATTCTTTTCTTCTTCATACAAGCTCCTCGGCTTTCCACTCTGTATATATATATAACTAGGTTAAGTGTAAAAGTTTACATATGGTGTGCCTAGAATCATTTTTCCAATTAGACGTATTTGAAATATACGATGCATGAACTTCGAATCAGATTTCTAAAATATATTATAGGCGTAATAGATATATAGACCTTTCAATAATTATATTTGGAATATAGGCCTATAGTGTAATCCTTCTTTTGGTTGAGAGCCTAGGACTGAATGTCTCTTTAAAAGACTTCCACAGAGCTTGAAATCATCCAGCTTTTGAAAGTGCAATAGTAAAAAAAATGTCATGCTAAATGGGTGTTGTGCACTAATTGATATAGGGCCTACTGAATTTCAGCTTTAAACCTTAAACATGTGTGGTAATTTCACAGGATTTTGATTTGCTTATTATCTTGTGAATATGGGCCTCCTTTTAAAGCTTAAAATTTGTACAAGTCAAAAATACCTTTTCATTGTGAATAATTCTCAATTGATCAGAGGCTGGTCAACTTTTTCTCTTGTTATATTGGTAGTATGGAAAATCTGAACACATTAATCCTTTGCACTGAATTTATTTATCCTAGATCTATATGTTAAACTTTAAAAAAAAAAAGAATCTTCAATATTATACAGTTACATCGCATAGTGAATTCAGTGAAAGTTTAGTAGCCTACAGGCAGGCCGGATATAGTGTTTGATTTAAATCTTAAATTGCTAATTTGTCACATGATTACCACACGTTTGAAATCCATTTGCTAGTTCGTCTTTGTTCCATGGGTACTTATAGTGTATTTTGCATTTTCAGGATGAAGAAACAGCAAAAAAAAGCACTGCTTTGGCGTTTACTGTGCTTTCGAAGGAAGACAGTGAGGAGCTCCTCGGAATGGATGCATTAGAAATGGAAAGGTTAAAATTAAATTATTCTTAAAATTGTTTTCTTGTCATTTTTTGTTTACCAGTTTACTTAATTCCATTTTACTGCTTGGTTTAACAGTATCTAAGGTAAACTGTAAAAATATTGAGATTTTGGAGTCTAAGCATTCCAGTGATGCTGTCCTGTCAGAAAAAGATGTAGATATTCCTGCAGCAACAGGTGTAATGATATGTCATGATTCATTATTAATGACTCAGATAAGAAAAAAGTCTAGGAAGATATAGAAGAGGGAAGATGGTGGGAGAGCCTTGAAGTTGAAGAATATAATATATATTTTTTGAAAATTGGATTGCCATGATAAAAAAATTCAAGAGATGTCTTTGTTTTAATAGATAGGCCTAGTGAGAATGTTTCTTGAGTTTAAAATATTGACTTCACGTTACAAATTACATAGGGGTCCAGTAAATAGTCATCCAGTGGTACATGAAGGCATGCCCACATGAATTGCTGACAATATAATAATTGAAATATTTTTAGAAGAATGACTACATCAAAGCTTTTTTGGCAAAACAGATCACAGTACCCGGTAGCCTGAGCTGTAGCTAAGATTGGAACTGTATTAATATGACTAAGGAGGATGGTATAATGGTATGATGGCATATATCAAACATGTCATATTTTTTCTGTACATGATAATTTCATTTCAGTGGTATGTGTTTTTTTCCCATGAAAATGTTCCTCTCAAACCTATTCAAAGAAAGAGATCTGACTATTTTCTTTGTGGGTGCTCAGGTGAAGTTTGCTCCTTCTATCCAGACAAACATTTATCATTATCATCCTGTAAATCTCTCCTCCTTTATTTTTGTGCTTGTTACTCTCGTGTAATATATATACCTCTAATCTTCGGCTAAAACAATCTATTTTCTTCTCTATTTCAACAGTAAATTGCAACAGACATTTCAGTTGAACCCAAGTACAGATCTCAAAGATGCAGCTGTATTGGATTATTATGTTGGTGCAACATACTGGTGTAAACAGCAAGGATACAGTGCACAGCAGTTGTCTGGATTCTTCACAGTTGCGCATTCATCGTTGGAAAAAGTAAAAGGTTTGTTATGGCCAAATTTTATCAATTGCCTGTGCTGTGTAATGAATTTACAGGGTGCTTAATGTTATTAAATGGCCTTGTGCACACTGCGTTTGATAAGTATAATGAGTGTGATTATTTTCTTATTTTTACTGTGCCATCCATTTTTAGTGTTAGTACGGTTTGGTTTTACTGCACTTGCAACACCATAAGGTCATATAAGTGTCAAAGATAAGAGTTTTTTAGTTTTAGTAGAGTTTTTACGGTGCTCGCAACTCCATAGGATCATATGAGTGCCAAGGGGTTGATGTCAACAGAGAAGTCCTTACAGGGAATCAGGGTTACTCTGCTCACCTCTCTAGCATCAACAGCACAAAGTCTGCTTCGACTATCAAGGCACCCCGGAAATAGCGGGTCACAAGAGTGTGACAAACTCAAACATACAAAAGAAGTAGAGGAAAAAAGGACAATAGTAAGAATTAGGACAGATTAGCAGTTCCCCGTTGCAATTCAGGCACAGTTATGAGTATGATATTGATGAATCAGCCCATTTACAATTCTACTGTGCATAAGAACATGTTAATGATTAATGTCTCCCATTTGGGAATGGCCTCAAGACACTTCAGTAAGCTTATTCAGTAGCACCGCCCCGGGGGGGTCCGAAGATAAGAGATGTTACAAAAGAGAGTAACAAATACAGAAAGGAGGAGAAGAGATAGAACGATGTTTTATAGCAAAAAAGGAGCAAACCACACCAGAGCACCCGTCAACCTCCTACGCACTGTCCACTGCAGTTGATATTTTGCATTGGATGCTGAGGGCAGTGGCAGTTGGACTTGCTTTTAAATAAAGACTGGGCCTATTTTCTGCCAGATTAGGTAGATAAACAAGATATTTGATGACAGAACACTGGCTTAGGTTGACTTAAAGATGGAAAGAAATTGGTTCAATGTCTATTCTCAGAGTTTTGAATTGTAGCAGGGAGGCTTCATAAATTAATATCTCGGGTTGAAAGGTAACTTGCTTTGGTAACTGAACAGCCACTCTGTCATCATACTAATTCTGTCTTACAGATCAGCCAGACTCGCTTGTGGACACATTTAAGGAATTTCGCAAAATGCTTGTGGGCATAAGTGCAGAGCCTGGGCCAGATGTGGAGAGTGGAGGCTTGGAATTTTTCAATGCAGACCAGGCGAAGTCCATTGCTGACTACCTGCATTCCAGGTGAGATACTGTTGAATCTTCACTGTTTGGACAAAGGGTCACTCTTAAGAAATCTTTTGTTTACTTTCCTGAAAGAAGGAAAGGAAATATGGAGATAGACTGCCCCATGTACGGTATTTGTGCAATTTTGTAAGTGTTGAAATTTTACACCCTCATCGACACACCCTAAACCATTTAGGAGGTGGCCTGCTTTGACCCACTCGTCAAGGCCAATCCGAGCTGTAAGAGATACAATATCCCAGCACAAAGACAGGGATGCTCTATAAAAATTCTTTCAACACAGGAATTGAACTCAAGTCTTCTGCATGCAATGACAAAGGGACATATCACTACATCACAGACACTGATTGAATTTTTTAAATTATAATATATGGGAGCACATTATATCAAGGTCTGATTGGATTTGACTAACAGCAAATACAGTTGCATATTAATGACTTATTTCTCTGTGTTCTCCACAGCTTATTCCAACATTTCAAGCTTTACGAATTCATGTTCCATCATTCCCAGTCTATGGAAATTGTCGGCAGTGATGTAAGGACTTTTGATTATTTTTAGTTTTAAAAGCTACTCACAATTAGTAGTGCAATTGTTAACCATTTGCGTAATGCTTAAGTTTGAAAATATACTTTTTATCTATGTCCACTTCATATAACAAAAGCTTTCTCAACTTCTTGCTGAGGTTGTATTTAATTATTCATTAGGCAACATAAAAATATTATATGGAGGTATTTTTCTGTTCAGCCATTTTTCATAAATGCAGCAAATGACATATAGTATAACACGAATAGCTCGAATTCGTCAGGACCGGCCTCAGTAGTTCGAGGGATCCGTAGGTCGAGGGATATCTTACAAAGATAAAGAAGGAAAAAAAGCTGTATTGCAGGCACAGTTCAACGGATGTGTGATTTCAGTCTTATGTGTTCGACCTATCCATGTTATACTGTATTTTGAAAAAATTAATTTTGTTTTGACTTGAGCATAATATATTAGCGCTGATCAGCGTGCACTACAATAATCAAAACTAAAAATACAAGTCACTCTAACTGTTTTGTCATTCTATGTATGTTTAAACATTTTAGAAGTAAGTATTCTGTCGAAATTCATTTAGATAATAAAATCTGCATTTTATTCTTTGTGACTTTTCTCAACTTATGGCATCTTTTTTTTTTCTTTTCCATTTTTTTTGGTGCTAGTTGTCCGTTGAAGTCCCCCTCCCAGCAGAGACACCCTTCCCACCACCTCTGGATGAAGGAATATCAGAGTCTACCTACAAGGAGTTCCTGACTATTCCCACTCCCAGTCTTTCGGTAAGCAACCCGGCAAAATTTTCTTTAGATTAATGCTTGTTGCACCTTACTCTCCTTGTAGGCTTCTCACTTGTCAAGAACAATCAGTCAGAGGGGATAAGTGAGAAATATTTTTTGCTTGAAATGACCTGATTGTAATTGTTGACTTGCCTTTCATTTTTCTGTCTCCCTTCACATTTTGTGAGTAAAAAATTAATACCCAACGTCCAGATTTATATATTGTTCTGTTCTTTGATGTTTGATAATCGTTGCAAAATACACTCTGCCTGTATATATTATATCCTTCTTCTTTTTGGATTTGTATGTTGACACTCAGCTTTATGAAGTAATTACAAAGAATGAGGTTCAAGTGGCACAAAGCTAGCTGCAAAGTTGCTTTGTTTAGTAGAGTGATTGATTAAATTGTTTTAGACCCTCTTTCTTGTAATATGTACATGAATATCATCTTTTGGAAACAGTCATGTCTGCCTTTCAAAATGGTTTTGTCAAACAGAACTTGGTGCCAACATGGTTAACAAAAAAAAAACGTAGTGTTCTCTCAACAATTAATGGATATGTAGCGTTTATCTTATACTCATACTTTAACCACAGCATCTTTATCCACAATAGTCACTTGTAACTGCAATGTAAAAACGTTATGCTCTCACTTTTGAGGAACCTACTGTTGATAGACAGCCTTAGCAGAGGAGTTTTGGAAGACAGGAAAAAGAAGAGAATACAGTCGAACCTGCCCTGATGGCCATCTCTATAAGACGGCCACATGTACAAACGGACACTTTCCATTTCCCCCCTTGCGTTTTTTCTATATAATTTAACTGTGTAAAACGGGCACCTGTCCAACGCGGCCGCGACCACCATATTTCAACACACAACCCCTATCACACAAAGCAATAACACCTGTCTTAGACGGCCACCTAAGTGACTCCATTACGCTTTGTCATAAATCAAGCATTGGTCCCTGGCGTTGTGGGCGAGCCATCATAATCTAAAAACCTGTCGTTGTTAAGTCGTCCCTCCAACTGATCATGTTGCGTAGGCCCCTCCCACTGTTGACCAATAGGTAACAAAATTAATTTTCAGCTGCTGGGGAGGGAAGCGTGTGATCCCTCATAACCCATAAGCCCCGCCCAGAACCCATACACAAATCGTAGTTAGATGAGTGATCACTGTTTACCCAGTCTGCAACAAAGTAACAATGGACGTCAGCATGAACTTGTGACAGAAGCGTCGCTTGTTCTCCGAGTGGTAGCGACACGTGTTTGTTTTACCATAGCACTCGATCCTCCTTGTCTGACACATTTCGTTTTATTGTCACCCGTGCACAAAAGCAGCAACAAAAGAAAAAAAAAAAACCCAGCGAAAACAACAACAACAAAAATAACAACAACAACAATGCAACTAGATCTACCTTCGGTTGGGACCTCAGAAAGGAAGGGTTTGTTTTCTCAGATAGGAATGGTTTGTTTTCTTCATCTTGATCAGTCCTGCCTAAGACGGCCACCTGTCTTATACGGCCACTTTTCTCCTTGACAATGGGTGGCCGTCTTACACAGGTTCGACTGTAGTTGACATAAAATATAAAACTATTATCTTAAACAAGAGTAAAATTATTACATATTCCCCCCCCCCCCCCCCCCCCCCTCTCCCTGCAGTCAACAGAAGAAGGAAAAACTGCAGAGGAGGAGGTGAAACCTGCGACGCCGATACAAGTTGAGCTACCCCCTGAGGTGGAGGACATCTTTAACAAACTCACTCCCGAAGATGTACGCTCAGTCGTTGAGGATGTTTCTTCAGAACTCTTACAGAGCTTGCAGGTATGTGCTTTCTTCCTTTCACATTGGGTGTAAGAAGAGGCTTACCTTTACTTCTGGCATGCTTTGACAAAATGAGTCTTTAAAACAACTGTAATCCAACTGAAGAAAAACCCAAACCACCCAAACTAGATCGCCTACAGTGGAGTCGCTTAAAGTGAAGTCTGCGGGACCAGGGGATTTTCTTCAGTTTAGCCAGGTTTTTCGGTAAACAGGTTGTTAGAATAGCAGGAAAAATGTCTGGATTTAATTCCTTAAATTGCTTTACTTTTTGTTTTCAGATTAACCTATTCGGTTTTAGCAAAATCCACTGCAATTCTCTTAGCCACAGCAGGCATTCTGTTGTTTGGTAGTGAGCTCTCTCTATGTTAATGCTATTTTCTCAGATGTCCTGTAAACTACGTCCTGTGAATTATGTCAGTTTAATTTCTATCACATCCATACAATATGGCAGAAAATATGAGTTAAAAAATAAAACAACTAATCTGTCCCTTTCATATTTTGTATGTTTCAGGCTGGTGTGGAACAGAAGATGAGACAGTATGAGAATAATATGCTCTCAAGAATAAACAAAATTCATGTTGTCCTACCGGAACCTGTTGGGGAGCTTGAGGCAGCTGAGAAATGAAGGGGATTTATGTACAATTACATTATGTATGCTTTATGAGAAGTTCATTGAACTCTATGGGTTTCACTTCTTTAATGCAAGTCTGACGATCAGATAAAGCCGTGGGTTTTTTTCACAGGTAAATGAACAATATCTGATTAAGCTGCATCGTTGGGACTACCTAAATAAATAATGGGTATTGGGAGCATTATATTATTTTCATGGGTAGATAGATATATCCAAGTTTTTTATATTTTTTACCGGCCTACACTTAAGCCACTTCAGATTTATTGTTGTATGAATACAAAACTCTCATAAAGGAGAGCTGCTTTCTAATTTAAAAGCTTTGAACACAGCATTCATAACCCACCTCTTATTAGAATGACAGTCAAGCCTCTTTGGGGTTCAAACTCTTAGTACTCTCCAAATAATTTAGAATCAAAGACAGGAAACAGCTGTCTTGTATAGCCAATCTGCATCAGGTGAAAAAGAACAAGATGAATAGGTCAAGAATTTTTTTGGGCCAGAGATTGGGAAATAAATTACTTGCCTTCCTTTACTACCTTATTTTTCTGTTTATCCCCTTTTCTTTCTTCATTTAGTATGTCTTTTTAAAGTTTGAGAAATCTTAAAATAAAGAAGGACATTCACATGCTGCAATAAATAAACATTTTCATTATGGACTACTTTACTATTCATGTGCATGTGATTTGCAGGGAAAATGTGTTCACTTATATTGTACGCACATTAATTAACATTAAACTGTCTTATACCCTGGTCCCGAGTTCTACTTCGAGTCACAAGGAGATAACATAAGGCAAGGTAGAGGAAGCTAATTCACTACCACTTTATGACTAGATTGCTTTACTTTATGGTCACATGCCAACATGGAACATACGAAATCCAACTCTCGAGGCTTCATGTTCTGTTAGTGCATGCATTAGTTGGCCATGAGATTTTTTCAACTCTGAAGTCTTGGTAAATAATTGAAGCACCGAAAAGAGATGTCAGTTTTATTCAAGAAAATTAAATTGTTATTTTTTTCTTTTTTTAAATTTTGACTCTCATCTAGTCCCTTTTCATGAAAACAATTAAGAAGTTGGGGGACAGGACAGAGACCCAGAAAGACTGTGAGTGTACCTGTAAGCATGCTTGTTTTCACCTATTATGATCAGTTAAGATAAACTATTTAATTTGAATGCATGATAACGATGGAATGGAGATAAAATACTTGTTTGTTGTAAATCATTATATGTTCAGAACTATGAGAATTACGCTTAGGAAAGCATTATGTATTCCTGAACTAACAATTGTTTTGTAAATAAATAAAAGACGGAAGTCGAAATCGTTTTAAACTCGTTTAATATGCCTTGTTCAAGTCATCCAGCATCACTGGCATTGCCACAAATATTCTTTTCATATTAAAAATAACAATGGTTTTTTCCACAGCAACAACAAAGGGTGAATTCCAGGAATAGCAACATTTCCTGTCCAATAACAGTCAGCGATGTCTTTCTTCCATCTCAATATCTGTCAGCTCTTCTTTCACTTGATCAAAGTCAGCACTTTCTGGACCATAGCTCCAATGCCATCAAAAACTTCATGAACAGCTGTCTGACACATAAAAGCTGGTGTAGTTACGATTCTGTTGGCTTCATCAGTATGTATTTCCTTAAAAAGGGTTAAGGCAATAATACAAATAATTTCTACATTATTCAAAGACATAGGCAATACTTTCCTGACCTCTTAATACATAGCTAGAAAAGTAAAGTTAGAAAAAACCAACATAGTCGTATTGGGAAAAAAAACCCACAGACCCCAAGATGAAGAAAGTCAATTTCATACCATGCAGCCATGTGGAGGCAACACTGAATAAGAAACCACTACAGTGGAAATCAGATTCAATGAGGTTGCCGGGCCTGACCTAAAATCTTGTTGAATCCGAGTGTTCGTTATAGCATACGGCAACTTTTGATTCCATAGACCAGCGCACAATTCATTACATAGGTCTACGTCAAGACTAGCTTATCATTGTAATAATGATCAGTTGCCAAGGGAAAAAAATGACTGTGACGCGTTTGTATCTGCGACATTCAACGTTCGGACCGCTAGTGCCCCCC